CTATTCTATTCCCAAGTTCATATACGTGGTATATGTTAGCTAGCTAAGGCGGCTTGTCAAAACTTAAAACAATAATTTAGACATGTTTGTTAATGCAACTTCAATTTTTTTTTTTTTTTTTTTTTTTTTTTTTTTTTTTTTTTTTTTTTTTGGGTTCATGTGTTATGTTGTTACCTACATTCATTCTCAAGTCTACACTTTATTTAAACAAATTATGATGAATAAATTAGGAAATTCCACGGCAGTTTGATGACTAGTCATGAAGATAAAATCCAAGTTTGACCAACACAATTCATGATTTATGATTTTGTGTATCCGATCTATTTATTGAAAAATTATTCATGCATATAATGCAAAAGAATATGTCATGACTCATCAAGCTAAGCTATAACTTAGTTTTTGTCATGCATTTTTTCAACAAATTATTTAGTTAATACTTGTATTGTTGTGCACAATAGACAATCCTTCTTCTGTATAGATTTGCTCATGCTCCTAGTTACATGATATATATCAATTAGTATTATATACTCCTGGATCACGGTACTCCACTACTCCATACCCAATATACTTGAGTTATTTTGTCTAAGTCTTATGTTATTTTGCTTAAAACCCTGTGTTATTTTGCTAAAATAATATGTTATTCACTTATTATTTAGTTTAACATCATGTATTAAAAAAAAACATGCATTTATTAAAATAACATGTACTTATTTAAATAATAACATATATATAAAAATTGAAATAATAAGAGGTTCACATCAAAAAAAACATGAACTTTATAAATCTAAAGTACAGCGAAAGGATCAATGTTGAAAAAAAAAACATGCAAATATAAAATAACGTATACTTATTTTAGAATAACATATATATAAATTGAAATAACAAGAAGTTCATATTAAAATAACATAAACCTAGAGTACCATGCACCACGGTACTCCAAAAGTAGCATAGAATTTGCGCGATATGTATAAGCTAATATGTTGCTACTCCTTCCCTCTTTTTCTCACAAAATTCAACGGAGTAATATTATTACACATTTAACCAACATGAGTTGGCTCAAGTGGTAAACAATTGATGTCGCTTAAGGGAGGTCTCGGATTCGAGCTTGCCGTATGTAGAAACTCTTGTTGGGAGACTCACCCATCATAAGCCAGGTGTACGTGCTACCCGAGTCGACTTTAGATGTAGTCGGAGCTACGATCCGATGAACCGGATGGACATTTTATTAAAAAAAATATATATTATTACACATTTACACCATGCATATATACCAGAATAAAGCTAGTGTACCTAATGATTGATTAGAAATTAAACATGACATTGTTGTATTATTGTAGGTTTGAATTTGAAGGTCATAATTTGAACATAGCATGAAAACTGAAAAGAAGACATGGATTATTGGATTTCTTATATTCTAGTAGCACAGTGTGGTTTTTAGTATATGCGCACATGGCATGCATGGAACGCATGCAATTGGTAATGTCGTAATGAGACCATATACGACCACCCATACATTATTTATATTATATTCACTATAAGTCTATAATATATATGTGTAAAATTATAATAAAAATTTTGTGGCAGAATATTCTAGCTGATGATAAATATATATACTTGTACTGTTGTATATTATTGGCAGTGAAAATAATTTACATATACAAGTTGCAACTTTCAATTAGTAAATAAGAGAGATTATTACATAGAATTATTGGCCAAATTTTTTTTATTTTAAGTGCATGTGACGGCTAGCTATCTAGATACTTGTACTTAAAAATTACAGAGTATATTTTATTGCCCGCGGTCTTTTTTTGTTTTTTTTTCATGTTGTAGAACTAGTCAATATTCATTAAAATCATGTTGAATGATATCAATATTAATAAAACTATGAATAAAATAGGGAGTAAATTAAAATGTTTATTATATACTATATTTCAGTTGATTAATTGTTTTGTTCTATGTAATGATTTATTAATTAAATAGAGTAAATCTCCTTTTTCCTCCTTTCTCTCTCCAAAACCCTAGCCTCCATTGTCGAATTTTGAAGGGGCTTCCATCGATTTTAATCGGTGAAAAGCCCCAATCCTTGTTTCTTTATTGTTTTTTTAGGTTTATAATAATGCTTCCTCCTTTTGGGAGGAATTTTTCTCTCTCGAACAAAAGGGTTTCCGATCTCCTCTTTTCGAGGGAGAAATTTCTTAGTTTTGAATCTATGGTAGCAGATGTAATGGATTGTCGTGAAATTATTTCGTTGGTGAAAAAGTTATCAAGTTTTCGAATACGAACAGATGAATCAGAAGGAAAATATCCTCACGGCTACAAAGGATCGTTAGATTGTCTCTCCCAACAAGACTATAATTTTCAGCGATATAAGCGGGAGATGCTTGCAAGATCTACTCGACCATCGTAGTTTTTATGAAGGAAAATTTTATTTGATTCAATATCTTATGTATTTGTTAACGTCAGTCGAATCTCTATTGTAGATGTCGTATGACTTTTAATTAATGAAATATTTTTGCTATAAAAATAAATAAATTAAATAGAGTAAATTAATAAAATATTTATGTAATATGGACTAAACAAATAACGTTAAACAAGTGTACTGTTATTTGGTATTTCAAAAAAAAAAAGAAAAAGAAAAAAGAAAAAAAGTGTGCTGCACTGTAATGATAGATTTTTTGTGCATGCCACAATAGTACGTAATGCCAATTCTTTCAGAAATAAAATCTTTTCAGTTTTTGTTCATAATGTTTAATACAAAATGTTCCTCAAAAGAAATGTTTAATACAGTAGAAAATATAATTGTAGAAATTAGATTTTTACTCCGTAGTATATAAAGAAAGGGAAGAAATTAGCATTAGTGGTTCTAGACTCTAGTACCAAATTTATTGACTTTGTTTAAGTGGTTTGGTGCTTTAAAAAACCTTTCCAACCACATTTATTTTATTTATTTTTGATAGTTGATCCTCCACATTAGAGTTTTTTTTTTTTTTTTTTTTTTTTTTTTTTTTTTTTTTGACAAGCTCCACATTAGAGTTAATGAGTTATTAAGCTATAGTATATAAGATAAGATAGAACTATTAAGTTAAAATAACATGAAATAAATTTTGATAAGTTCAAATAAGCCATAATCCATCTTATTGATAAGTTGTGATGAGATCTAATAAATCTTAATAATAAAATTCAATAAGATAAGATAAGCCAAGATAAATAACTGCTTTAAATGATATTATGTACTATTCATCTCAACAAGATCCATCTTTTTGGACAAAAATGTACTGAAAAAACTCATGTTAATTCATGAGAATGGTTATTGCTCTTCGATATGATGCACTGATTCACCCATAAGAAATATACTTGTATAATGAGACTATCAAAGCATACTTAATTTGATTAAAGGAAATAATCTCATGGTATACTAAGGGCCTGTTCTCGTACGTTTATTTTCAGTTCAGCTCCTAATTTCCTTCTCTTATAAAATATTCATTTTAATTCAGTTCAGTTCAGCTCAGCTCAGCTCGGCTCAGTTCAGTTTAGCTAAGTTTAGTCGATGAGAACATGCCCTAATTTATATGTTAACCAAATAGAAACTAAAGCTACCCATGGACATAGTTCTACTATAAGTGACAAAAAATTCAAGTATGCATCGTTGGAATTGAAAAAATAAAAGGTGATATGAATGGAATAATGGTGTAGTTGTTTGTATTTATCTGTTAGACAATTGACAAGGTGTCGTCCAAGCAAATGCAATTAAAGACCCATCAAATTTAAATTATATGGTGCTACTTAATATAATGTTTGCCTCATCTTTTAGAGCTGGCTTATTCGCCATAATGCACTACCAGTCTTTCTTTTTTTCTTTTCTTTTTTTCAACAACAATTTGATATCCCTAAAGAACAATTATTTTAATGAGTTTGGAATTGGATTTTGGGAATTAAAATAGAATATAATTAAGGGTCTTATTCCAATTAACTATTTTATTTCTTAAATTAGGGGCAGAGAATGTGTCATACTTGGGAATTATTAATTTTTTTTTCCCTTTGGTAAACTCTATCATACAATTAAGCTAAGAGGGGAGGAAAATTGAAAAGTTGATATCCAAGTTTGAACTTTCCAAAGTATCTCTGTCAAAACTAGTGTGTGATCCGGGTTTTGTTTTGAGTGATACTTTGAATGATTTCTTTTTTTTATATTAGACACTTTAAAAGACTTGTTGTTGAAGAATAGATCTCCCAAGTATCACCACATTTAATCACCACATGTAAGTGTCCTACATTGGTTGAAGAAGAGAGAGTTAATCACTTTATAAGGCTAAGGGGCTACTCCCCCTATTGCCATATGGTTTTAGGATAGAACCTCATTTGAACTCGTGAAGTAGACTCTTTCTCTTGGTTTGCGGGTGCGGCCCAAACCCATTTATCATGGTTTCAGAGCCAAGTTGAGTTATATATTGCTCTAGACCATGGACAACTCACATTAGAGGGGGGAGTGTTGAGCCCATCAAAAAAACCCACATGTGAGTGGTGTGTATCCCAAGTGAAGAATTGAAGATTTAGACACCCCCCCCCCCTTTTTTTTTTTTTGAGGGAATAGACATCTTTTTCTTATTTGATCAAATCTATGGCTACATTTTTTCTCAAAATTTATGTATGCATATTGTAAGCAAAATAATACAGTAGTTTATAAAGTATTTCGATGAATTAATATGGGTTAGTATTGACCTTAACCGCGGCAACTAATTATATAAGAGTCCATAGAATTAAAAACAATGTTTGATATTCTACTTGCTAAAGAAAAACGAGTAAAATTGTGGAAGAAACTACGTTAGCAAATGAAATGAAGGCAAAATGCAACGGCTACATGAGGCAGTTATAAACACGTTTATATGAATTTACACTTCTTTCACCAATCTTTGACCAAAAGACTAGTTCTAGGAAGTTAACAAAGATGTGAAAATACTCCAAAGCGCGGAAATATACTCGGTTCATTTATACATTTAAAATGAAATCAAGTTTAATTTGGATCAAGTTCAAAACTTCACAAAGGATAACTTTCTTAGAAGTTCTGAGCCAAATTTGGATCAACTTATGAGCTCAGGTTGACAATAGCATGGTCGAAAACATAAAATCAATACACAAGCAACGCAATCAAAGATAACCATTATCTGAAACTAACAATGAAAGTCACACATGGACAGCAATGAGGATAAAATTCCAGAATTTCAATGGAAATTTATATCAATCCAGCCAAGTTAAGGAAAAAAAAAGTGATTAGTTGAGGGAAATCGAGAGCAATTTAAAGTTTCCAAGTGCCAAAAGATTGATCTTTATCAAGCATTTAGTGACTACAGAGGCCCGGGAAAAGTCCCATTCTCCCTCTGCTCGTTCCAGCGATCAACCTGCCAACAGTTACAAGGAATCCATCAATATGTGATATTCGTCTCAAATAATTGCCTTCACAACACTAGGAAACATTGCATGAGAAAACATTAGTACAGAACATAAAATTTTTATAGCAGCCAATTTGTTGGTTGCTATTACTAAGCTCATTTTGTTGGTTATCATTACTTAGATTGTTTTTAAGGTTCCAATTTAAGGATTCAGGACAAGAAACCACCCATTAGGGAATTATTCGTACTACTACTCTAAAATGAAAAACATTACAGTAATTACAAAACAATCATATATGGCCAAAAACCAACTGTGCCACCTTTTAGTGGTTTCTATCCAACCACCACTAACTTCAGCGTATATCCACCAGACCGCCATTCCATCCTATTCCAACTACCCCAAGTCCCCATATACCACCACTGTTACAACTTCTAGAAATGGATCCACTTTGACTGCAGTATCACCATTCTTCATAAAGAGGATAGAGTATACAAAAATAAAATATAGGATGGGGGTTTCAAACCTTTTATTATAGGCAACAAAAATCAAGACACTTAATATATTCACCAATTTTATATTCCAACAAAGGCTAATAAGAATGATGGCTAGAGAATTATAGGTGAAAATGCTTATATATGCCTGGGTGCAAGGTGCACCCAAGGGTAATTTTTGCTTATTTGATGAATGATGATTAAATGAGCAATAATCATCAAAACAAACGAAAATACCCTTAGTTGCACCATGCACACAGGTGTTTATATGAATCTCCGAAGAACAGGAGAGGGGGCTAACTGGCTAAGTAGTGAGGTAAAGAGAGAAATATGACATTTTTTTTTTAATAAACTAGGTTTCAGCATGAGAATGGTGAAAAGTTCTAAACAAAAGGTTTTGGTTAATTTTCCATAGCATGGTGCTGTTAAGCCTTTTGAACACGATATATATCCCATTATGAATTTATGATACTTTGATCTTTCCTCCCTCACCCTAGTCATTTCCAGTGGAGCAGGTCCATTAGAAAGAGGAGGGTGCGCTTAGAAGAAAAGGTATCGACCCTGTCTTTGAATCCTTGGAATCCTGAACAACCCTCCTCCAGTCCTGTGCTAGCTATGATTTTAATTCTCTACGTGCGTAGTAAAATAAAGGAGGTATTTTAAAATAGGTGTCAGTTCAATTTGTTTGGATTGAGATGGATGCACAGAGATCGGATTTAATCTCCCTCAGTCAGCGAATATAAGATTGAAATAGAAGTAAATACTGTTGTTGTGAGTAGGTTAAAGCAAGACACTGAAAACTGGTAATTTTAACTGCAATTCAAATCGGCCCTTTTGATTCTACAGTCACATGATGAATGGACAGATAAGACAAGCAAAGCTTTCATTTTCCTTAGGAATCGACTCTCAACCATAAGAATACCATGGAGAGAAAATTCCTTGCAACAACCATAATACCATGAGGCACAAGCAATTAATGGATGACAGAAAGTTTCCCATCTTCAGTTATCACAAAGATATATGGACGCCATGTTTTTCTCCATCTTCAACAGGGTATGTGGAGGAAATGATAAGCTCATTGATCAATTGGTGGAAGTTTTGCCAAGAAAATGCCAAAAGGACTTTCAAGATCATTTTTAAAATATGGGTTTGCAGCAACAAGAGTGAATGGCACCAACAAAGAATCAGCTGTGATAAATGACTTCAGTTGATTTGCTATTAGGTTATAACAAAAAGGATATATTTGTGTCCTCATGGGAAGGAAATAGGAAAGAACGTAAATAAGTTGACTAGGATCTTAATGACAAGATCTTTAAAGATCAACTTGTAGATAATATTGACCTCAGTACAGCAATTCATAAATAAAAACCATGTATAGCCTGTAATATTGGATTATTAATAAGACTTACCCATTCACCAGGACAAAGTGCACGATAGAATCTGGCAAACTTTTCACAAGCATCGGACTCTTCACCCTTAGCTGCTGTGCACCTGAGATAAATACCCATTAAACAATATCCAGGTTGGAATAGATTCATCTGGTATTTGTATCCTTAACAAAATTAGGAATTCATACATCCGCATAAGCAGGATATGCCAGAAAAAGCAGAATTCATACCTGTGGAATTCAATATATCTGGTGAAACAGTGTCGAGTTTGATTTGTAGTTGGAAATCGAAAATCAGCTGGAGCAGTCTTCAGTTCGATCTGCAAGCCAATAAACATAAATAATATCATTAAAAAACAGGTAGCAGAACTACATGTAAATAAGATGAACCTGTCCTGTTGATTACAAAAACATTGAATGTGTATATGATATGGTACATAGTCTACATACTTTTATGAAACAATAACTTTTACTTGTATACACTCCGTATTTCTATTTCCGAAGAAACCACCTTTTAAGACTTTCTTTGTAATGGGAACCACCTTTTACATGAACTTTTTCTTTGATAATACCGACTCTTGAAATTTTCTTTCAAAGAGTACTGGTAAATTGGTAATTCCTATCTTACTGCTTATATAAAGTGCAAATAGAATGATTACCTCACCTATAATCCCTAATTTTATCTCCTGCTCTTAATATGTATTTTCCCTCCCAATTCTTCACTAAAAATAGCTAGAAAAATTACTAAATTACTATCCTGCAATAACCCCCAATCCCAGACTCTCATTAATTATGGTAACCAAGACATAGGATTTTAAAGTTTAATGCATAACAATTGTAGCAATAGAATGAATATATAATTGCCTTCAAATTGTCTTTTAAAACAAATTTCTGATTATAAAGCGTCTCTCTTTACCAATCATTATATAAATCCCAGACTATTAACTCCTACTTTTTCATAAACCTATTCTCCACCAGCAGGCTTTTGATTTCAAATATGATTCCTATTACTCAGTATTTTGTGTCTGCTTTGATCAAAATATATTAGAATTATGGAGTAATGTGGGACATTGTGATGAACTCGGGTCAAGGGCAGCCTATTCGGGTCTATTGGAGGAGGAGGACTTCCGGGCACCAAGTCCAACAACAAGGATAGCAGCAGCAGGGGAGGATTCAAGGCAGAGCAATTCCAATTGAGTAGAAGACAAACACAATTAAGAAGAAAAGAAGGAAAGTCAGCAGTTAGTTTTATTATGTTTTAGTATGGTTTGTCCTAATTAAGCTAAGTATTCACATGTAACCTTAAGGCCAATATTGACCATTAGAGTTGGTAGTATAAGAGTTGTAGTCTGGAATTAAGGAGTTTTTATCCAGAAATTTGTGAGGAACAATTGGAGAGTGGCAACCTCAAGTTGCTTAGGAGAGTGGTAGCCTCAAGCTACTAATTTGTATCATCTTGCTATCAATTGAATGAAAAATCAGACCTTCCTTCGTATTAACATTGCTTACAAGTCTTAGTTCATTACAGACATCTGCTCCCCCCCCCCCCCTCTCTCTTCCCTTTTTTGGGTGCTGTCTGAAAAGTGGTAGGTGACAAGTTCACGACGAGACCAAATATCTGAGCATATTTTTGGCAGCATGGTCTAAACGAGTGTTTCAAAAACCAGAATGAACTATCTCTCACACTCTAATTTCATCACCCATGGTTTTTTTCAACATTAGAAAAGTATTCCAATTCCATTATGTGCTTGGGGTCTATTCAAAATCAATGTAATTTAGGTCATTTTCATAAAAAGTGTCCCTCACTGATTCATCACATCTTCCAAATTTTCTGTCATAAGTGGAGAGTTATAAACATCTACCTATCCACAATTCAAAAATAAGATATACCTCAAACACAATGGATAATTAATAAATTTAATCCCTACATCAAGTGGTCATGTCACTAGGAACTACAATGCAATCCAGTTTGGAAATCTAGGTTAGCTACTCCTATCAAGCCAAACACATGCACAATTCTATCAATCAATTTAATCACAACATTCAATCAACCAAAATCCCTAAACCAACAATGATCAATAATTCAATACTCGTATTATTGTATCCCCTTAATGTCCAATGATGCTCTTTATTAGAAATCTCATATCACATAAATAAGTCAGTGTAATAGCAGAGCTCCTCAAGGCTAATCTGACAAGTCATTGTAAAACCAAACAATGATCAAGAATTCAATATTATTGTATATAAGTCAATAAACTATAATTAGCACTTGGCAACTCTTTTACATACATGATGATTAAGCCTCCCTTCAAAAAGAGTACTTAAAGAATTTAACTCTTTAAATATTTGCAAATCTTCATAGTTCCTAGTTGATCAATTGATCAAAGCTCGACAATGCCACTTACCCGCCGCCCATAAAGATAGTCTTTGAAGTTTGAACAAATACAACTAGTCCAATCAAAACATAAACAGAAAAATTTGAGAATAGAGGAGGAATCATAGGGAATGGAAGACGTTTTACATCGTCCATACCATTTAATACATATTATATTTCTTCCTTGTTTCTTTCTTGGTTGGGGGAAGAAAGGTAAGACCAATCACTATTATGCATTTATATTATATGAAGCTGCATTTTTGCTTAGTTATTCATTCTTTTCAAAATATATCTACAGGTTATGTGCATTACAGCCAGCATTAGGCTTTTGTAATCCCATTGTACCTCTAAAATGAAACGCGAAACGTTCACTACAAATACATGTTTAGGAGTATTTTTGGACACCTTTTCATCACATCTCTTCAGGAAAACCCTCAAAATCGATCAAAACACACTATAAAGCTTCACAAAATTACAAGGGCGTAATATCACTATCATTTGTCTCGAAGGAAACAAGTTCTTGCTATTAATGAGATATTGTAATATGGATTAAAGCTCTGGTATAGTTTCTGTCGTGCAAAATACTCAAAGATAACAAATTTTGCCCAAAATCATAAACATCGCAAAAATTGAAATTTCAATTGTAATTCAATTCAAAAACAAAGCAAAATAACGTAGAAATTTCACTAAATCACCGCGCTTGCATTAATTCCACAAATAAACGTAGAAATTATCGATAATTTTGAACATAATCATATAATGCATTCACCCAATAACAGAATTCAAATTGGCAAAATTAATCGCAAAATTCAACTAAAATTGCAAATTATAAATAAAATGCGTGAGATTCAGGAGAATATAAAAGAGAAATTCATAGCAATGAAGAACAGGGAGAATTACCTCGTCCATTTTCCGATCAGATCAAACGAAAGTGAGAAGCAAAACGATGAAAGGAGGAAAGAGAAAATATGTAGATTATTGTTCTTAATTGCAGAAAAATGAAGTTAATGGTACTTTTAGAAAACAAAACATTTGTTGGTTTTATTTGACTTGGCCCAACCTGGTAGCAATAAGGTAAATGGGCTTGAGCGACTAACTGACTCGATGGATTATGGAGTTCAAAGAGGAAGATTTCTCATACAACGGTTACGAACCACAACTGTACATAAGGCTTGTACACATTTATTTAATTTAAGTTCAGTTTAGCTCCTATCAGTTCAGTTCATTTAAGCTCCAATCAATTCAGTTCATTTCATCTCCAATCAGTTCAGTTCAGCTTCTAATTTCCCTCTCTCATAAAATATTCATTTCAGCTCAGTTCAATTCAGTTAGCTCCAGTCAGTTCAGTTCAGTTCAGCTCCAATCAGTTCAATCTTCAATTCAGTTCAGTTCAGCTCAGTTCAATAAATGTGAACATGCACGTAGACTAGATTTGTCAAAAAGGAATGGTTGAATTGGTTCGGCCGAATTCAAGCTTAGTACAATGAAGAGTTTTAGTTGAAGTCAAATGAGCTTGATTTATTACTCTATTTCACTTCGGTTCAACTCAAAGAACCGGCCAAAGTTAAAATTTGTAGTATATAAGTTTGCTAAATAATATTATCTTTTCTGAAATAAAAATAAGTTATGATTAAATTTTCATGACATGCCTTATATAAACATGAAAAAATGGACATATTATAAGTTTATGACGCAAAAACTATGAATAATATACTTCAAACAAATTGACATGTTTACATTTCTCATATTTAAGGAACATATCAATTTTTTAAAAGTACATTTGAAAGGGCATGTGGTTGATGTAATCAATTAAGGCCGTGTTCAACTTCAAGTACCAAATATAAACATGATTTGAGTTTAGTAAGAAATATTTAGATTGTCATTAGAATAATTTAATTTCAATGTTATTTAAACTCAACAAAAATAATTCAAGTTCAGTATGCATTAAAAATCAAGCACATGCTAATCAAAGATATCAATCAACCAACAAGGTAAGTTTATATATCAAAAAATAAATTATTGTATTCATACAACATGAACATTTGAACCATACATCAGCCCAACAAACTGGGCAAAAGGAAGGGGAAGGTAGCAACTTAGCTCAGCAGGCTATCTGATGCATTAGCACATAAAGAGCACACCTCCACCAACTTCTTATACTAAGCTCAATCATCATATCTGAAATGCAGCAAATATAGATACAACCACAAAACGTCCTAAATGTAATACACTGATAAATTCATCAACGAGAATCACCAACACACTAGTTGCAACTTGGATCCTCAACGTTTTCCATGGCCAGGAGAATCTTTGATTAAATTGAACCTAAACTCATTTTATTTGACATTTCCAGGTTCAAGGCCATGACCAGATCCCTTTGGACAAAATAAAAATTATATGGTGTGTAGTTTTTCAATGCTCAACCTACAGCATGATCCTTTCTACCTCATCTAGGATTCGTAATGTCATTGCTGCCAACCATATTGCTGCTGATTACGATTCATATTTGAGCCTCGGCCAGTACCTGAACCGCCATAAGGACCACCTTGCTGAAAATTTGGTGCACCTGCTCCATAGCCGCTTGCTCCACTACCACGTGGGCCACTTGAACCATAAGGTGGGCCACGCCCTTGCTGTGGGTAGGGGGCATTTCCATAGCCCCCTCCGCCACCACCTTGACTTGCACGATTAGGGTGATTATATCCACCATTAGGATTTCCACTCTGGGAATATCTGTTGGGGCCTCCAGCAGAGGGCCCTCTAGGTTTTCCATAGTGATGGCCAGGCCCTGCAGGAACTGACGATTGAGAACCATGCATGGGCTGGTTAGGTCCAGGCCGCATCTGACCATGTGATTGACCAGATTGCTGAATAGGTGGAAGACGAGTATGTGGTGGGGGATGCTGAAGTTTCTGACGTTTCGCTGCTTCTTCATGTTGTCTTTGCTGCTGGCGTTTCTTCTTTGTTTGGAATTCATGTGATGCTTCATATTTTGGCAAACTGATTTACAAGGAATTAAGTTTTTGCTGGTTAGCTTGAAAAAAATTGGTCTATTATATCCAAGACAGAGAAGTAAAAGAACCTCTTTGGATCACAAGGCAATGGATCAGCCCAGAAGTATTCAGCATCTAGTGCATCCTTTGCAGAAATTCTCTGAACCAATATGAAATAATTATAAGTCATAATATGCAAAAGAAAGACAAATCAGCTCATCTAAACAAAACAAAGACTAGAAACTATGGAAGCAAAGCAAATGACAAGCAACAAGATCCCTCTATCCCATAGAAAATTTCACACTTCCTATTTTAGAATGTCCCCAAAATAAGCATGCTAAGAACCTTTTTCTCTTTGCATCCCGTCACTTTCTCATACAACTACTTCACTGAATAACTTATCCACTTTTCATTTTTCGTTACACTCCATTTAACAACTTCTATTAATCTTTAACCATTTTCAAATGAGAGTTTAACATGGGACTTGGACAATGAAAAATACTAAATTTGATTAGCCAAATAATCAAATATTTGCTCCCTACTTCAGTTAATTTCTCCAACATTTTGCAAGAATCAAACAAGAAAGATTTTAAGCATAGGTAATTTGCCAATTTTTACCTGTGCTGGATCAAGTGTCAGCATCCTCTCCAACAACTCCAAAGCATGTCGATCAAAGCTGCCACAGGAAATTTTCAAAATAAAATTAGGGTGACTATCTACAAAACTGGAAATGGTTATTGTCTTTTCAAGGCAGGAAAAAGGAAAATCAACATACTGTCTAAAATACTCCCGCAGACGTCTCTTCATTGGCCTATTTGGCTTAAAGTTGGTATACCAAGGGAGTTTTGTAACCCCTGGCCAGTTGGCCTCATCTGGAGCTCCACAAAGCTCAAAAATCTTATTTATTTGCTCTGGCTACAATAGCGCAATACACAATAAGATCAAATCATGCATCACACAGGCCAGAGTAAGTAGTAGGGAAAACACAGCTCTTCATACTACTAAAGACAGGATTGCAGTTCAGAGCCAAGGGCATCACATAGTAACACCTAACACAACAAGAATCACTGCATAAGATACGACAAATGACACTAGGCTGATCAAACCCAAGACTCAATTGATGACGTCAATTCATGGCTTTAGAAGTTTAGCCTGACCAACCCAAGAAAGTAGACAACAGCCACTCCAAGATACTGGCAAACATGCTGACAGTTCTGCTAAAGTCCAATATCCACAAATGTGCTAAAGAAGCCACTGCTCTTCCAGATCTAAAATTTAATTACAGTTTAACCACCCAAAATCTAGATTTATTAGCTGTCTATGAAAGGTAATCTATTACCCAAAATTCTACCTTGGTAAACACTTATAATTGGGGTAAGTAGTGGTTTGGCCACTTACAATTGGCTAAGTGATTGTTTGAGCATCTACTCTAAAATCTAGCCATAGCACCTACAATCGGGATAGGTAGAGCTTCTATTTAGAGAGAAATCAGCATGTCAATTGTCAAATTCTTACTATTGCTTCGTTTGTCTCATTTGTCGAAGGATTATCGTCATTTTAAATAAATTTCCTTCCCTAGCGCCGCTGACGCATACATACAGGAAAATAAAAACTCTACAGAGAGAGGGAAACATGGCTTAAACCAGCCTCCTATTCCTCATTTATACCTCATCTTTGCCAGGAAATACTGGTTTTCCATGGAGCAGCTCTGCGAAGATACATCCAACTGACCACATGTCAACAGCAGGACCATACTTTGTGCTACCAAGCAGCAGTTCTGGAGGTCTGCCTCAATTAAAAAAGGATTAAATACTGACCAAGAATGAAAAGTTGATAAAGATCTATAAAGGGCTTTGAATAACATAATGGAGGATATCAATAAACCCATATTTTAATTCCTCAAATCAACCACACACCTGTACCACAATGTAATAACACGGTTGGTGAGATTCCCATTATGATCACTAGAAAAAGAGCGGGCAAGGCCAAAATCTGCAAGCTTTAGCATCCCCTCATTGTCAATGAGAAGATTTGAACCTGACATATACATATATCAGACAGGGTCCTAATACTCCTAAACTCAGCAAACAAACCAAACACCAAAATCAGAGATTATAAGACCTTTAATATCACGATGCAGTACTTGGTTAACGTGACAATAGTGAAGTCCCGTCAAAAGTTGTCTCATGTAACACTGCAACCACAAATATTACTCGTTCAGGTTTTTTTTTTTTTTTAAAAAAAAAAAGTGGAATCTGGTCAAAAGGAGATAAGAATTCAGTAGTTCAGTACACTTGTTACAGACTTACAGTACCTTGATCTGTGGAACGGAAAATCTCATCCCAGGACGATCAGCAAGACCAGTTAAATCATGATCCATATACTCAAAGACCATGTAGATTCCACCTTTATATTTATTACCATCTGCAGCAAGAATTCAAAGGCCACATAGTCTAAGCTAACTTGAAAAACAAATAACATGTATTAAAGGTTATATATATATATATATATATATATATATATATGTGTGTGTGTGTGTGTGTGTGTGTGTGTGTGTGTGTGTGCATAGAAACAATATAATATGCGAAGGATATCATAGTCTATTACCTGGCCTCCCTTGCTCATCCTTTTCCGGACCTGAAATAGAGCATGCATACCGTAAAAACAAAATTTTGGAAGAACATAATAGAGTTGTTAGCAGGCCAAAGGTCAGAGTAACTCACCAGGGGATGTTACAATCTCCTTTAGTTGTATCACATTTTCATGATGCAGCTTTTTCAAAATCTTTATTTCACGAATGGCAGTTATTGGAAACTGAAGCAGTAATCAAAATTAATTTTACATCTAGTAAATCAAGTTTTATACATTGTTTAGCTACCAAGTATATTAAATTTGGAAAGCAACACATAGAGCTTGCTGCCCTGAGCACATACCCCTTCTTTTTCATTGTCCATTCTTATTTTCTTCAAAGCAACAATTTCTCCAGTCTCAATTTCTTTAGCCATGAAAACTTGCCTGAGGTTAGTAACACAGAGAGAAAATATCAT